ATATATGACGTCAGGATGGCGCAATTTGTTCTAAAAATAGAAAAATTGTCCCATATCATAGGTGCGCGCGGATCCCAAGACTTACGGTCTCCGTCCCCGTCTAAAACAATAGACCTAAACACGAGGCTCCGGGGAATAAACCCCACAAACTCCCGCGGGGCTGCAGTTATTCCCCGGAGCCTCGTGCTGATGTCTTTTGTCTCAGGCTGAATTTTAAGATATCGAAATTGGTCTATTGTTCTCTACTCGGTTCAATTCTTACTACTAATTCGCTGTCAGCAGTCTCCAACACCGCCGGCTTCCATAATTTATCGCAGCCTAGGGCGAGCGCGGTTCGTAAAGGTTGTTTTTGAGCTTTTTCAGTTATGGCGAACTGGTCTTTAAGAGACGGTAAAATATGTAGTGGAATAATAAAATTAGTAGTTGGGGAAAGTTGGGCTTGAGATTTATTGTTTTTCTTAAGCCAGACTGAATGTCTAATATTAGTTCGAAGTACAGCGATATCTCGAATAGCGATGCTTCAAGCTCGCAGTGACTGATGGGAATGCTCCACAGGACGCGGAGGACTGGTGTTAAAAGAACTTATGGCGGAAATTTGGTTGTCTGATCCCTAGCACTTGGTAATATTTTGTTTTTCTGGCCTTGATCTGCGATCAAAACATGGGGAATGGGATGAACAAGGTAGAGTTTATTGTATTTGTTGATACTGTTTTGAACTTATGTGGCTACATAGCTCAAACAGATCCTGAAATAGTCATGACAGCGTGTCTTGCGAAACTTCGTATCTTGAATTGCTGTGCAAAGCTTTTCTTCTCTGTCACTTGAATAATTCCTCATTTAAAGCATGAGTCGTAATCACACGTACAATTCTGCCTAAATTCTTGTCTTTCAAGGGCTTAAAATTAGATCTCATGGAATTAGCTTAAAGTACTTAAATCCCGGGCTTCACAAATATTTTTGCTTAGACACTTGAGGAAATTGAACTTGTGAATTTGGATTGCCTATCTTGTGTTTAATTAAGCAATGTGCTTGGTTCAGGATCTCCTCTGAAAGTTGGTGAATACTGTCAGTTTCAGTCTACGCAAATTCGAGGTTGTCAGTAATCCAATGGTGACTGTTATTAAATTGCAATTTTTGATTGCTTTGTAGTTTGCTGCATCAATCGACCACCACATGCCAGTCTGTTACTCTGGCAGCCTTCAAACGACAGCTAAGATTACGAGCACCTTCCAGAAACAAATCTAATTACTTTGCAGAATAATATCTAGATGCCTCTTCCCCAATTTTGTTGCTGTTAGGGCTCACGATCAAACATTCGCCTTTTTGGGGGGAAGGGGGGGCTAAAATGGATTATTGACATGGGTTATTAATTGGATTAGATTCTGGTCAGCAAGCTGGATGACCGTCAGTGCAATCCTTTTTCTTATAAGAACCTGAATTTTGAGATTGGAAATACAACATTCTTGATTTTCAGTCGATTTTGCATCCGAAAATTCCTAAAATATACTTCTCAAGTTCTCCAATTTTATTCAAAGGCAAGGTGCTGCAGAATTAAATCACTCTAAAAGCATTAAAATTGCATCTGTACATATTAATGTATGGGCACCTTGAAACACATTCAGGAATCCAGAATCTACAAATCAGAAACAAGTTCTTCAAATATGTAAGAATTATGTTGCATAGTTTTTTGCATGTAAATTAATAAAGAGGCCGAAAAGGACCTCAAACTTCACCTCATTTGAAACAAAGATTGCCCTCCCCCTCCCCCTGTCAAAATTTCTGCAATGGCTATTTCCAGTGAGGGCTATGGTTATGAGAATCTTATTGACTTAAGGTGATTCCTCAGTATTGCATTGCGCATCCCTACTGCGCAGATTTTCGCGTCATTAGCTCGCGCACGTGAGAGCGTGCGCGCACTAAATGTAAGAGATTTCCCTTAAACTAAGCTTGATAGCGAAATAGATGCTCCTTGTCTCGTAAACAAGCACGGTGACCCCCACTTTTTATTTCATAATTTCAATGAGAACAATATCCTCAATAACTGAGAAAAAAAATTAGCAGAAATCTATGGCTACTTTTTTGGCAAATAAAATAAATACTACAGAGGAGACATAAAGGGCCCAACAACACATGTCCAAATTATGCTTCCTTAAAAGGATAAAAAAATGCAGGGTATTTGAAGACATCTTTTCTGGGATGTAGATGAATAAACAATCAAAGAAAGTCAAACTCTGTGTGCTATAATACGTTGCATTGAAGAATGATCGAGCTTATTTGTTGCGCACAGATATAACCAAAAGTCACCTAAATAACCATATTCGTCAGCATTGTGGCGTGAAAACAAGCACGGTGACCCCCTCTTTTTATTACGTTTTCAATGTCTCCTTGTCCTGTAACAACAGCATACCAAGTTTCATCGGAAATCTATGGTGGGTTCTTTTACTAGGGAATCACCTTAACTAACATGCATCATAATTTGATACTAAGAACCCCGAGAGCAGCTAAAGTACACTTGCTGGTAATTGCCATTTTGTTTATAAGTGAACCGCAATTTGTCTGAGGTAAAATTTGACCTTCATGTTTAGTAGATGCTGAACAAGTTAGAAACTATCATAGAGAACAGTGTCTCAGTCAGTGGCAGTCAGCTGTACCTTGATATTTGCACCTCTCACTTTCAATATCCAAAGCTAGAAGGTTACATGTAACTTGGCTCATCTAAAGAAGTTTTTTTTTTTCCAACAGATACGAGGTTAATTCCAGAACACCAGTATTTTCACACTGATACTGTTACAGATCACCACTAGATATTCCTGTCCACCATCATATCAAAATGATTTAAGAAAATTGTATTGCCCACTAACTTCCATCTGCTCCTCACTTACAAACAGATCAGGCTGCAGCATGTCATTAAAAGATGATTACTCAAGAGATTGCTGGAAACTCATCGCATTCAAACATTGCTTTGATGTCAATGTTGTGACAAAAGCTTCTTCAGTTGCTACTGTGCCACTCATTTGTCTTCTCAGGGCAATGTATTCCAGACAAAATCTGCACAAGGGCCAGGTTGAACAAAGGATGGGTAATTCTATCCAACCAAAAAAATCACTTACCCTGACTGGATAATGATTTACCTAATGGATAGCATTATCCACCTTTTGAACAACAAGCCATCTTTTTCCTATATTAAATTTTGTTTATTGGACATTGCTGAAGTGAATTATTTCTGTTGTCATTCTCAATATATATAATCTAATTGTTGTTTGTTTCTTGATAAAAATTGCAGGTTCTCCCGGGGCTTTACTTAGGGAATTTCAGAGGTACGCATTGAATATGATATTAAATAAGACAGAGTTCAACCTCCATTATGCAGTGCTCCACTTGATTATGAAGCACGCCTGAATCACTGTTATTGTTAGAACTAGGATACCATCAGTGCACCTCACACGATTCAGGAGAATGTACTTGTGACGTTTTTTTTTTTTTTTTAAATGTGGCTAAATGTAATTTAGATGAAATTTGACTCAAGCCAATGCTGGTCAGTGGTCTTTCAGAGTGACCTTACACCGTGGGGTCTCACATGGGTTTTTGCAGGGCTTATATGCTTTGCTTGCCAGCTGTGTAAGAACATGCAGTTTGCTTTGAGTGTCATTCGTGCTTGTAGCCTGCTTTTGCTCCCTGGCCTCCCTCCCTTTTGCTGGTGATAATAATTACACATGGTGGTAAATATATCGGTTGCCACTCTCAGGATTGCCATGGACACTTGTGTACTCTGCTCAAGGCTAATATCTCACCCAGCTCCACTGACACCTTTCCAGCAAGCTCATCAATTGGCGATGAGTTTAACTGGTGGTCATAATGTACATGTATGTACTGCCAGCTGAGAGTTGTTTTGATCACATTTTCCAATCTGATGTATTAATTTACTTCTAAAATGAGGAGAAAAGACATTGCACTTTGAACAACTAATTTTCTCTGCATGAATGATCATGCTTGTTACTGACAGTAATTAATTTATATACACAGTTTTTATTATTTTATTTGTTTTTCAGATGCCAAAGACATGGATCAATTGACAAAGAATAACATTACACACATCCTAGCTATTCATGACAATGCTCAACCAGTACTAGAGGTATGTCATGCACAAGTATCTTTGTAAACACACACTGACCCACATTTTCTATAATCTTGGGAACTACATTTTAAGATATCCCAGGATAAAAATTTTTTGAAAGACCTCTATGGGAGTTGGGAAAAGGGAGGTTGAGGGGTAGGATTCCTAAGGTGGGCAGGCAGGAGTTGGGAAAATTTGGGAAAATTTTGCAGCACTCTGCAGTATGTTTCTAAAGAAAAAGCACTGTAAAGACATGGGAGCTACAAGGGAAGGAATAGAAACTGGGTATAAAAGGTATTAGAATTATTATATTAAAAAAAAATGATGATGGTAATAAATGTCTTGAATTTATTTGAAGCACATACATGTAAAATAAACTCAAAAATGTTTCTTTTTTTGTTCTTGCAGCACCTAAAGTACAAATGCATTCATGCTGCTGATTCTCCTGACCAAGAGATGTAAGCATGGGCTTGCTTAAATAAGGTTACCAGTTTTAGTAATGAAAAAATGGCAGCAAATGGGCTTGTAACAAGGAGTTATGAACCTTTGGCTTTAAGATTGCAGGTCTGAAGAAGGTGAGCAGAAGCCACCAAAAATTCAGAAAAAAAAACAAAAAAAAAACAGATTGGACTACAGAATACTTAAAAATGTCCATCAGCACCGATCACAACACTGGGGGTGGTATTTGCTTGTTTTACTTGTTTTAACAACGAGTCAATTAATGATTAAAGCAAACTCAGCAATGTTAATAAAACTAACTTTAGATTTGTTAAGTAACCAGTTTGTTTACAAACGAGTGTTTACTTGATAAAACAACTCTAAATTGAAGTACCACAGCAATAATTATTATTATGCCATTTCATAAAGTCTTTTGCTATTAATAATTTTTAAACTTTGAAGATGTGTAAAATGCTGTTTGCAGTGTTCATGATCATTCACTCACAGAGTAGAGCACTTTTAAGGGCTTTTAATTTACTGGTAACTGTTAAATGCAAACTTGATGTAGTACCACTTATCACAATCTTGAATATTACCAGTAGCATTTATTTAATAAAATAGTAAAAAAAACTTCCTTTAGAGGTACCTTTGTAAATTTAAATTCTTTCTCTTTATCCTCAGATCAGGATTTTTTCAAGAGAGCATTGATTTTATTCACAAGTGCAGGTAAATAATGTTCTTTAAGGAAATATGACCTGATTGCTTACTGAGCGCGTGTTAGTTATAATGTCTGTGAGTTGCTCTTGGATTTCACGTCTCTTGGTAAAGAAAAGTGGAAAAACTGGTCTTCCCAGGCCAGTTGTACAGAGTTTTTTTCTTTAAAAATTGAAGATGGAATATGATAGAGTGATTAGATCTGTGAAATGCAACTCTGTTCGCTATTAAGGTTGACTTTGATTTGTTTCTTTATTTCAGGCTAAATAATGGAGCATGCTTGGTTCATTGGTAAGCTTTCTCACTGTTGATTAATGACATGATATGTTTGACGTGATATGTTGCATTGAGCGATTTGGTTTTGGGGGACATGGCGAATTGCTTAAACCACAAGATACAGTGTATTGATGTCATCTTATGCCCTATAAGTCTCTGACAGGTACTGTCTTGGGTTGGGGAAAGGTCCTTAAATTACCATTGTGTTTTCCTGAAAACACGTTACTCTAACAGTACCTCCCGGCTCCCAGGAGTACCGGTGTATTAAATGGGTAGCTGCAACTTTGGAATGGAGTGGGGTGTGGTGGGGGTTTGGGGGGGGGGGGGGTTGCATTGGGCCAGCGTTGTTAGAATTGTAGCGTGGGCAGATTTTTCAGCTAGTGTTATCTGAAAAACGCGAATAGGGTTATCTGCTGCGTTTAATTCGTCAATCTTTCTTGTTCATGTAAGCATGGCTGGAGTATCTCGCTCAACAACCCTCGTTGCAGCGTACATCATGGCGGTCACTCAGCTAAACTGGAGAGATGCCATTAAAGCCATTAAGTGCTCACGTTCCATAGCCAATCCAAATTATGGATTCCAAAGGCAACTTCAAGACTTTTATAACTTACAGGCGTCAAAGGTAAATATAATCTAATAGGACAGTAATAAGAGATGTAAATCTGTCCTCTACTGCAACTTATCTATTTGGGCTTGTACGACGCCGTAACATGCATCGGTGGAGTTTTAGATTCTTCAAGTACTTCCATAGAGCGGCTTTCATTTTAGTGTTCAAAAGATACACGATTGGCTTAAAAAACGCGCGCCACTTTTTTAATCCAGTCAGAAGTAAAACCAATCGTGACGCGCTCGCAACGTTTTCCCGCGCTTGCGTTAGCTACATGTAATTACTTCGATTTTTGATGGGTTCACTGTATTGTCTGTGTCCTTTGTGATTGCCCAGAGTGATTACTTTAGTTTATTGAAAACCACTCTAACCAGGTGGGGAGGCGGGAGGGGGTATACAAATGAGGCAGGAAAAAAAAAAAGAAAAAAAAAACTCAACTCTATGTGAACGTTTCGGCAAAGATTCGTTCTTTCGACTGGAGGAAACACGGGTTAATTAAAGGAGTTCTGTAGCAGGAAGCTGTGCCGATGAATTAATATGGCATTGTGAATAATGCCTTCAGAAAGTGCAATTCTGCAAAGATAGCTTTCACTGTGTGACATGACTGAACATTTTATCTTGCTCTAGGAACGTGAAAGACTTCAAAGAGACTTTCCAAACACGGATTTCAAGGATGAGGAGTATTTGCTAGAACTAATGGCGAATAACGAGGAGAAAGATCTTTCTGAGGAGGACGCAGTGATGAACGCTTTGTGCAGGCACACAAACAGAACTAAAATTAATTCAATTAGCAAAGAAAACCAAGAAACGTCTCATCCAAACGACGAAGAGGCAACGATAAATACGGAGCTGGAAGATTAACATTTTTTCGTACTTTATACTGTTGTCGTTGGTCTGTAGATAATCCAATGATTTTGTTGTAACCGACAGAAATTGGCACGATCGAGTGGCCGAATCTGATTGTTTCGACTTTTTTCCTCCACTAGTTGTCGGTTTCTCTGGAGAGAGAGGGGGGGGGGGGGGGGGGGGGGTTGAAGATAAATCTATGATGGTCTTGCACCCCATCTCGGGTGGAGCAGTAATACTCCTTGTTGTTTCGTGCTAGGAAACCGGGGAAACTGCGAAGGCACCGCCTTGTAGCTGCCCCCTTCCCCGTTGTGGCTGCCCCCTGGATTAGACGTAATTTCCCTAAACATAATCGGTCTGATTTGTGCTTTTAGTTGTTAGGTTTTAACAGGAAAATGAATAAATTACCAGTTACAGTATCTATAACAAAATTCTCGATCCTGGTTGGTTCTTCGCGCTCCTACTTGACACATAACAACCTGCGGCTGTATAGGCCGGTGTTTAGGACAAAAAACTATGGTGGTCGCGCTTTTTCATCTTGTGTACCCACGCTTTGGAATGACCTTACATTAGCCGTGAGAAGCGCCCCGTCCGTTGATATTTTTAAAAACAGACTTAAAACTTTTTCATTTAATCTTTAAGCATGCCAATCATGTTTTTTGTTTAGTTTTTACATTGNGGGAGGGAGGGAGTGGTACTCCCGTAAAGTTAGGGTAGGTGTATGCCGCGAAAGGTCTTAAACCCGGACTCGATTTAAGGATGAAGCAGACGCGAATTGATACCCTGTTTCAGGTCCAAACCCGAAAAATTTCACCCCGTTCAAGGAAAACCAAAAACTAAGAATGGCTTGAACGGGTCAGGTTTATTTCTTTTCTGTAAATATTCGAAGGCAAAGGTAAAGGTAATTAAAGCCAGGTAAGCATCAAGCATAAAATTTGTTCTTCGTTTAGCTGGGCATTTACGCACTGAGATTTTAGTTAATACATTTTAGGTACCTTATTTAAGGATCACACCTGAAACCCAATACCAACAGGAGCAAAAATGATACCCTATTTAAGGATTGGGAAGGTCAATCCGTATATATCTCGCGGCACATAACTATATAGCCAATATATCGGAGTATCTCCCCCCCCTTCCCCCGTCCCGGGCCCGGGGACGGTTAGTCTGCTTCTAAGATGGTTTCACTAATACTTAACTGAAGCCGCTGAAATAGATTTTGAGATACAGGTATCTTAAAAAAAAGTAATGTCTGGACTGCCCCAATAGATTTATGAGGCATTTGAAAATAATTAACCTCGTTAAAATCACTTCCACGTAGAACTTGTAAAATTTGAGATTGTATTTTTGTATTAAATGCTCACGTGATGCACAAAGAAGACTGTAATGATCATCACGAGTTGCGTGTATATTGACGTATATATTTTTTGTGCCTGCGCTCTTATTGATATTCGTTGCGTCAAGACATTGGCAAAGTACGAACCGATGTGGTTTTACTTCCGTTATCAGAAGCATTCAAATGACTGACTCGTTTTTTTTCTTTGCTCCTAATGCATTAAGCTTTTACCCGCCAGGAGTGCCAAGAAACAAATTTGTTCAATTTTAGTAAGATGTCCCCTGAGAACAATTCCAAAACTGAGCAGAATGCATGAAAGCATGAAAAAAAAAAAAAAAAAAAATGAAAGCACAGCTCAACAACGTTTGTTTGAATAGTCAGGCATAAAATTGTGAACATGTTCGGACATGGTAGCGAAACTTTTTGAACACAATAAACACTTGAAGTTAAGTGCTTCTCATTTCGGAGTAGTCACACCCCATGCAACACCCATGAAATTAAGTGCTTCTCATTTGTTCCAATGCAGTGTTTCACAGAGTAAAAAAAGAACCACCCTGTTTAGCATAACGAGGGGTCAACAAACGTATTTACACATGAATACTGTCCATTACTTTTACTTTAAGGTTACTCCTCATTATTTATACCGTATTTCATCCTTCTCATTAATAGACTCGAAATTTGGAACCTTTCAGTCCTATAATAATTTAAATTGTCCATAAAGCGCTGAAGCAGCACCTTTCCCAGTTTTGTTCGTTTGTACGCTAGGTGAACAAGGAGTGGCCCTTGTGACGTCGTGGGCTGTCACCATGGTAATTTGATTTTATTTTAAAAAGCTAAGAAAAACATGGTGCACTCATCAATCGCCCCTAAGAGTGACATCAACAGAAGAGTTCGACCGATTTTCTCAGCGAAAATACGCGAGTGAGATAATGACATCTACACAAAGTATTATTACGATATCAATTGTAGAGAGCCACCTTGAGTGGCAAGGAAAATGTTCACGGTTTCTATTCCCCTTCCGGTTGAAGGCATAATATAAAGATGGTGACTGAAGTGATTGGGCGGTTCAAGGCCAGAGCTAGCCGTAACATGGCCAGAGAAAAATCTTGACGGTCGAAAATGGTGTAATTTAGTCAGCAATTTATCTTTTCCTGCAGTCACTCTGAGTCACTATGAATTGCTCTATGGATGTTGTGCATTACAAAATGTTTGTTTGACCATTGAAAAGAATAAAGGAAAAACTAAGATTGACGAAGAGTCAGTATTTTCGACAAGGGATCAAGTGAAGTAAACTCTATAGTTTTCTTTGTTTAGAAACCTGCTTACACATTCCGTTTAGTTTCCGACCCTGTCTTGTTTTGTGTCTTGAATAGAGCCGCAATAGGTCATGCTCTGTTTATGACGCCGATATAATTTGTCACGCAATCCACCATATAAATATGACCTCATATCATTCAGCATCGAGTTTTGATCATTTTTCATCACACTTTAACGTACAAAGTGACCAGTGTTTCCAGTTTCAATAGCTTATCTTGAAATTGTGTGTCACTGATTTGGTTGTCAATATCTAAAATCCATAGTTGTCATATACACTTCTTGACACTTGTTTACAATTCGTAACTTCAACAATGAGTGCAAAATGCTGTCGTCTATTTTCTTTCCTTTGATTTGTGATCAAGTGAATACCTCTAGCAGTCAACAATGCAAATAGCCAAACTGGGTTTAAAGATCTATTCGTTGAGTAAACGCCGAAATCAGTTTCTTGCGTGACGACTGAACTCATCGGCACGGCGATTTCCTAATTTATTCATCGTTTTATTTTTCTTCGTTTTTCAATTTTTATTTTCTGTTTCTAAGAAATCGATTAAATGTGGTTTGCTATTGAAAATTTCTGCCTAATATCAAAATACTAAAGGTAACTTAATTTCTATTTTCAAGTTCTTTTTGTTTTGCCCCGGAGCTTGAAATTAACATATATGCAACACGTGTAAATTTCAGGAGCGGAAGTCTCACGCTTCGCTGGGCTGAGCCAATGGGCCAAGAGAACTTCGACCGGGAAAAACCCTTTCGAATTACACATCTTTGGTTAAATAGGGTAACATTACAAGCTGGCTTTTGAGACGGACTTTACATTACCGCATGGACGTTAGAAAGCGAAAGACGTGTTCTTCGTGCTAGACTTCGAAGAAAGCGTTCCCGTAGGCCTTCCCACCGACCGCAGGATAGACCACTTGAATTTTCTGGGGAAGTAGATTCAAGGAAAGTGCAAGCAAGCTTTGCGGCTATTACCGACCGAGATGTCTGAACGACAGCGGCTGAGACCATGGTTGGAAGACAAAATCAACAGCGGAAAAGTGCCTGGGTTGAGTTGGCGAAACAAAGATCTCAAAGAGTTCCGAGTCTCGTGGAAGCACGCTGGCAAACCCGATTTTGTCGTCGAAAAGGACGCGATGCTGTTTAAGCTGTGGGCTGAACACACGGGCAAATATAGAGAAGGAGAGTCAGCCGATCCGTCCACTTGGAAAACGCGGTTCCGCTGCGCTCTGCATAAGATGCCGGACGTGGAAGAAGTGAGGGTGCCTCATAGCTTGGATGAGAAGGAGCCTTATCGAGTTTTTCGATTTAAGGATAAAGGTAAGATGAATTACAAGAGGTAAAATAAATAATATGCTGCCTTTCTGGGAACATTATTGATGAGGGCTTTGCAATTTTAGAGCGGTTGCAGTCGCATGTTCACTCGTGAATATAAATAGTTTGTGACATTAACATTTTAGACCGGCGAACTGATAAAAACAAGTTTGAATGTTATGAAACATTTCAGATGAAATAAAATCACTTAAGCGGTGCAATTAACAAGTTTCGAGGGAATTGAATTGTTGTGTGACCCGCTTCCAGCAGTACCTAACCAGTGTATTCCTTTTCTACAGCGTAATATAAGCAGCGGCTTGAAAAACCTTCAAGTTCAGTTAGAACGCGTCCTACAAAAAGATAAAGATTTTTTCTAAGGAATTTTATGTGTCATGTTAAAGAGAGAGCGCCAAATATCTAGTTTAAAAAATTTTCCAACATTTTATTGTCCTTACTTGTGCCAAAAGGCATCACTTCGAAAAAAGTTAAAAGTATATATATATAATCTAGTCGAAAAAAAAATTTTTTTTTCCTGTTAAGAGTAATTGAAGATTGCATTTCCTCCTAAGAACTAAAATGGGTATTGCTCAAAACAATTTTAGAGCTTTAACAATCGTACAGATATTGTGGGGGTTTTCAGAACAATATTCAGTGAAAGGACCCGAACTGTCAATCATCAACAGCGGAAGTTGTAGAAAAAGTCTCAAAAAGAATGGAGCCAGAAGAACAGTGACTGCAGGTAGCACGAGATATGAAAAACAAAACTCATACCATCTTTGAGGGCTTTACAAGAGTTAAAAACTCCATGGATGTAAAGTTTAAAGTAAGTTTAAGTGCGAAGCGCGAAATAAGGGGATTCCCGGATTCCAGAATGAGCGTCATATCCCATAGGTGGGGAATGATCTCAGCACTTATCTTAAAATTTTCCAGACGACTGTGACAAGTAAATTCAGGCGACAGCAATAAAAGGATCTCTTTACGAATTGTTTGCGTGTCTTTGTATATAGCTTATGATAAATAATGACAACATTGAATAAAATTAAACGCCGTTGTTCGTAATCTGGGCGTATTAAGGGGCGAGTCATTTTCTTCTTATATGGGCAAGAATAAAATTACTTTCGATTTTAACCCATAGAAAAAAATTCCCTTTTCAATATCAGGGATCTGCTTACCAGATTGTGAAATAAAATTATGCGCCTTTGCCTTTTTGTGTCCAGCGCCAAAGGACGTTAAACTGATTGTTTCGAACCTTCGTTTGAGCAGTTGAAACGAAACTCTTTACTATCGCAGCTAAATTACGCAAAACTACACAAAAAATTGAGACTACGTTCGAACCATCGTTATGAATTATTTTAAAAAGCGAATAATTAAGTTTTACAGTCACTGACTGCAAGAAACGCTTTCGAAAGCTAACTCCGAGTTTTTGTCGAATTTGCTGGAAATAAAAATAGCTGAACTTTTCTGTCTTTTTGTGATCGTGAAATAATATCGATCTACTAAGGAAGGAAACCCTTCAATTACTTTTTGTTACCTGAATAAATTTGTAATGGTAATGATTTTCTCCGTGTTCCACACTGCCATGAATATTAAACAGACAATCTTTCAAAACATTAAAGTTGTTCGTGACCGTGTGTCTTTTCTGCCGTTCCTTTGCATAAGACATATGTCAAAAGCAAAGTCTAGCCGTATGCAGAACTGAACATGTTTATATCAGAACGCCTGGCTGGAGACAGAACAATACAAGCTTTCATTATCTCTCACACTATACACAGTTGTGACCTTTAGCCACACCGCAAACTGCTTTAAGTGTGAACAAAACAATACCGAAAGTAAAGAGGGCGAGATTCGATAACAGAAAAGGCCGACACCATAAAGTCACATGAAACGCCTTCGTTTGTAGCTTTCTTCGAATGAACATTGAATTAAAACCCCGCCTCACACACCCCATCTTGTTTTTAATGGCACCTCCCCGTCGTTTTTACTGAGTTCATCCCAGTTGCTAGAGTTGACGAGTCATTTGCCAGTGGAACTAGCTCAGACCGGGAAAACACTAGTTACCAGTAACTTCTTTTCACGTGAAACAACTTCCCTAGGTAACGAACATATCTGAGCACGTGCAAAGAAGGAAGTCTTAGTATTAATAATAGTTTTAAAGTTCTCAGTTACTAGTTTCCCTAAGTTCTCGAATTGTTTACTTTTTAGTGTATGTAAATGAAAGAACGAAAGCAAATAACTTAAAAGACGTTTTGAATTCATGTTATTCGGGAAGTTAATGTATCCGTGACTGAAAGTGGTTCGATAGTTAACTGAGTGTCTGAGACATTCTTAAACGCATCTTAAATTTGCTTTACCACAGTATTTCCTGATACAAATATATGTATATGCTGCTCATTAATTTTGGCAAGACTCCCAGAGAGTTGTTAGGAGGTTAATTAAACAAGTTTTTAAAGTTTATATAGTACAATGCAAGCCAAAGATGTTATCAAGATACCGGAAGACTTGAGTTGTATTTGATAAACAAACTACTTTTTACAAACTAGCTTACAAATTAACTTACACTTACTGGTAGATAAATTTTCCTCTTCTAAATAAAAATGCATACAAAGTAAGTCACAGAGAGCCGCACAGCCGTTAACGAGAAACCACCGAAAGGAAAACTATGATTTATATCACACTGGACAAGGCAACGCAATGGAACGGAGAAAAAAATAAAACTAAAAATCTCAACTAGTCAGTTCACGAGTGGTTAGCACATGTCTGCCAACTCGTTAATTGTTTTATATCGTTTTAGCATACTAAATGATACTTTCACTGAAAAACAAAAACCTAAAAATTGTCACTTTCCACAGTAGGTAGTCCAACAAAACAAACCTCAAGCTTACCGAGGTCGGCGGACGCAAATCAAAACGGAAAACGTCAGTTGGTGAGTAAATTCTCCATTGCAAAATACCATTTAGCCCCAGATTTGTTCGCAAGAGTGACTACTTCTTACTTGTAAGGGACTAATCACTATTGCAGCTAAGAAATGAGGGACCTCCGCTCAGAAGTTAATATCTTGGTTACTTTGAGGGTTTTCGGCTTTGCGAGATTCGAGTTTTTGTTATACTTCAGCATAGAAGTACCTATTGTAAAGTTTGTTCCCATAGTGTGAACAGCGTACAAAACGAAACGGGGAGCTTCTTTAAGCCTACTTGCGGTTGTTTCAGGGTTTCTATTAGAGCAACACAAAGTGGCCTCTCTTGATTTTAAAGAGGTACTTTACAAAACAGCGTTCAACTTGTTTAGCTTTTCTGACTGATTCATCTTCATTTTACTTCTTTTTTGGTGCTGTCCAAAGAACGACTCTGTCATACGCGCCGCTCCGCCATCTAAAGAGAACTACTTCTTCAATAACTACCCTGTACTATCATCAGGGACACAGAGCTATGGCGGCCATCAACACGATTCTCCACAGCACGATAGCAGCGACAGTTCTCTTGAGGACGACATCGATCTTGACAATATCACTCCGGTAAGACGCGGCGGAGCTATGTTACAGTCCCGCCGGGACTTCGATAAGAAAAGGTCCTGGATGTTCGTCGTCTCGCGTAGGCGCGTAAATCAAGGATTTTGGTCAATGTATTTTCTGGGGTGCGCTCGAAGAAATAAAAAAAGTGATATCTTCTAGGGGGAAAATTAAGCTCGAGCCAGGTCCAGAATAGTCCCTTTTAGGAGTTAAATTCCAATTTTCCGACGAGCATCCTTGACCTTTTAGCATGGAGTCCCTGCCCGGGTTATTTTGATGTCTAGATTAACGACTGGAGTGGTTTAATTTAGATCTGCTTCATACATCTTTGGCAAGGAAGCTCAAACTTGATGGTTTGATCCTGTGCACTTTGGCTAGCTAAAGGACATGGATAGAAACCGGTATGATGTACTACATCAAAATAATGGTCAATAGCTTTAAGTCGATTGGTCACCACATAAAAATGGCTACCTAAAAAAAGTCTTGTTGACAATTTTTTTTATAGTCACAAAGCATGGCGCTATCTAGAATTTTCGTAAAAAAAAATGTTAGAACCACCTTACACGGCATAGTTAATCAGTGACACATGACAGTAGTGCCTTAATTGACGCAATATGACCTCCATTCATGGCTTGTTTGCAGACGATTCCTCCATACCCGAGTCACGCGTATGAACCAATGCTGACAGACGAACCGGCATGCGCAAATCAAGCCACTCTCCTTCCCTATACCACTTCACCCACTTTCCTTCCCTACACCAACGGCCACGGGGGCGTCTCCAATGGCAATTTCATGAACAATGGCTATATCCGACAGATCCCTTCTACCTGCGATAATTTGGACCTGAACAACATCAGGAAAGAAATCTGTGACGCGATATTCGCGGCCAATAGGCAAATGGGTAATGGGTCGGTCTTCGGTGAAAGCGGACAAGCCTTCCTTCAACATGTTATGACAACTAATCCTGCCTTGATGAACATGAAACTGTGGCTGCAAGAGGTTGTTTTGCCGGATGAGGTACGCTTAAAATTCTCTTTTTGATCTGGTACTTAAGACAAACTGTTGGGCAACCAAAAGACTGTGCAAAGACTAACTGAAATCGCTCATTTTTAACAGCTCCAGATTATTGGGAACGGGAAAGAATGCGATAAGGTCAATGCTAAATTTTCCCTTAAAGTTTACAAATTTTGTCGGCGATATATAGCACAGTTCTAGCGGATAACTTCGAGTGTCGAAAGACGAAAATTTATTTCAAAAACTAGATTAACTCCACGATTTCAAATGTTTCACAAAACTGAATTCACAACCAGCAGCACAATCAGCTCGATCAGCTAAATGTGCTGTAATTGCTGGCCCTTTAAATGAGCTTCTTATTGGATGAACGAGGATCTTTCACAATTGGTTAGAAGCCGTGCACGTTTCTCATGGACATATCACATTACGATTCAAAAAGGCAGCAAACAAGGAAATGCTTTGGAAAAATAATACCAGCTTTGAACACAGGAAAACCTTTTAAATTCTCATGACGTCGGCGGGTGTGCTCTTGTAAGATTTTGTTTAGCGTAACTCTATGACTTCAGTTGCAAATGCAGGAGCGTGGAATGGACTTGCGACCAAGGAGAGCTCTTGTACATTAAGTTGTTCTTCATCTATTATATTTCTTACCCTTCACATCACCCTACCATTTTGTTCCCAGGCCTCTGATGTCACCTCCTCTGTCAGCACTCACCTAAACATGGACAACGGATTAATAGGTAAGACTGGAACAGTTATTATTCAAATAGATGTAGAGATGTGCTTTGTTTTAGGGGTAATTACCTGACTTTTCTTGTGCAATTTTCTCTGTAGAACCAGCTGGTATGGACATGGAAGATGCCATAGGACGGCCGGTATGTATAAAACATGATGTACGGCTCTGTTCGCGACACACGTGTACACGTGCAGCGACAGTTGGACACTCAGGAACCGTCCAAACTAAGACGGAGAAAATCAGAAACGGCGTTTTAACTCCGAAAACGAATCAAATGTTTTCCGTCCACACTACGATGGAGGAATAAAACGCAACAATCACCGGTCATTTTGGATTCATGTTCCAAGGAAAACTCGGTCAGGAAAATCGCATGATCATGGTGACGTCATCGATTTCGAAAAGCTCCGTTTTTCAAAGTTTTTCCCTCCACACTAAAACGCAAAGCCGGCGTTTTCAAATTCCTTCAGTTGTTTTGAAGAACTTTTTCTTCAAACTCCGTTTTCGTCACGGTTTATTATTGACGGTAGGCCTAACCGTAGAAATAAAGCTGCGTTTTTAACTTTCTCCGGCGTAGTGTGAACCAGGCCTCAGATCTTTGTTTCCCCACTTTCTTCTAGGTCACCATTCCTCATTTGAATGAAAATGCAGCGCCTATGTTCTCGAGAAGTGGAAAATCAACTGGGGAGAACTGTGGTAGGCATCCTCAATTACAATCACCAGCGACTGATTGTTATGTGTTAAATGTTCAGTTGTGTCCTAAAATGTAGTAACTGACATTGGTGTGTCAATGAGCCATAGTTTCTTGTTCATGTATGTTTTCCTTCACACCCGTTTCCTGATTTCATGTTTTGGGAAACTCGGTAAACTAAGGTTTTAAAGAAATTGTAAGAACGTCGAAAATCTCGTATTCACGTGACGGGTGCTTCGTCTGTAAAGAATATTATAAATAACTCTTGTAAATCATTCTTCTTTAGTATATAGCCGAGATTGTGCCAATAAGACTCTGACTCGGCCCATGTGATGTTTAGAACTCACAGCTGACAAAAATAAACAGACTTAGCTACGCGGCGCGGTTAAGATACTGTGATCCGAGCGCCTATAATCATCACTTCTTAGAGTTTAGTAACCTTTTTTAAATTTTCGGTCAGTTTGAAAGTAATGTTGTAAATCCTTGTGCACTGAGCAAAAGGAAAGGTCCAGTCCTTTAAACCTTTTTTTTTTCCTTTTTATTTAGATTCCACCGCTATGCACATCCGGGTATTCTATGGCAACTGCGAAGTTTATTCCACAGACACCAGGCTGACAGAAAGCGAACGAGTCATCAGGATATTCCACGGAAGCCACCTGGGGGAGTCCCGTCCGTATGAATTGGCACTGCTCAGCAAAATTTACGGACCTCCCACAGCAAGACAGATAGAGCTACCGCTGGTCAACAACTACTCCAAAGAAACCATCAAAGTCATGGATTTCTTGAAACGCGGGATACTGTTGGAGATAAATGAGGCCCAGGATATCTTTGTTACACGGCTGTGTCTTACCAGGGTAAGGCAGCTGTGATATTTTTTTCTTAGTTTCTACAACTGTGATTGGCTGAAAGCTGTTTTTTTTTTTTCTCTCTTTGGAACCAATCGGCAAGCATTTGGATTTGAGTTTTGTCTGAGGTCATTGTTATGTGCATTTAGTAGACAATTGGCCTTTGTGATGGTTGCTCTAATTTTCGCTGCTAGCTAGACCCAGCCAGGTCGAAACAGCTGTCGACGGTTGCAATTCTTGGTTTTCAGTTTGGACTCTATCATGTCGTTGTCGCGTTAAGTTTTATACATAGTAACGAGAGTCTCAAAGTCATAGTGAGAGTCTCTTGGTAGCAATCAGCCTTGCTCTGTTGTTATTCTCTCTCTGAAAGTCCTGTTTTCATTCATATGCTTTCAACCATTCCTTTTTGAGGACAGTGATATTCTTGTGATCTGTTGTCTATTGTCAATATAAACTCGTCATTTTTACCTTTCTTGTCCCATTCAGGTTTTCTTTTCTAACGGAAGGAAGGCCGCCAAAAAGCTTGAAAGGGAAGAACGCACGAAAGTGTTTGACTACCAAGGAAAATTTCTTCCGACTCTCAGAGAAAGCCGAAATGGAAATCGAGAGTATCCTTCGTATGAAGTCACTCTCTACCTGGGAAGAACTGATGGGAGCCTGGTATCCATTGTTATCACCCACGTGATGGCTAAGATGAGCCTGCACAACGCAAACACAGCGGGTGAGAACTTTTGGTCTGAGCCAAATCTGAACGATCAGTTAGCTACAAATCTGGAAGAGGATTGCATGTATTAAAGTGAGCACCGTAAACACTGCTTCATAAAGTTTAAGAAATCATTTTTTTTGTAGTAGATTAGTGTAACACCACTTTTGTACTAAAATTGAGCAAAAATATTCAGAAAAGCAGGCACTGAAAAGTCTTTAAAACCGAAGTAGTAGTAGTAGTCTTTGCATCAGCATGTCACCTGCATGGGTCGTATTTATCTAGGAAGACATAACATGTTTCACCATTTTCCCAACTCAGCAAGTCGTTTATTACGTCTTCCTAGGTAAAAAGGCGACTTACATAAGATCTGTTAGCAAACAAAAATGTCTCTACAAGCCATGTTTAGCTGAAGCAAACGGATACCATTGAAATCAACTTGATAATGGTTTGTGTCAAACCGAAGTAAAGTTTGGAATTTTACAAGTCTTTTATTTTGTAACATCAAGAGTATTTAATTTATTATTTGTCTTAACACCTCTTGTGTCTAGCTTCCTCGAAGCTGCTTTTATTATGTCTTGCTTAAGGTGGCGAAAGTCGCTACAAAGTGCTTGCGAGCAATTCTATACAGATAGCATATAAAAAGAGGATTATTTGGGTAGTATCGAGTTTAGAAAGGCTGCACATGTCGAAAAACAGTAGAAGACCTCTCGCTATGCAACAAAAATGACAAAACGAAAAGGGCTTAAGCAGAGAAACCACGTGAATGTTGAGATAGCCATTGTAAGGCTTACGTTTTCCGTAGTTAATAGTCTCAATGTGATTTATTTTAAGAATCTAATTGCCCTGTGAATTCTGGCAGATTTGTTTGCATTTTTGCAGTTTCCCAGGCAACTATAGAGCAAGGCTCACAGAACTGAAAATAATTCTAAAGACATGTCAAATTTACTTGTAAACCACAAGCCAAAAACTTCACAAGTCATATCACTGACTGAGATTTAAATTTTCCCGAAAATTTTTCGATCGCTGGTAACATCAAAAATTTGTGCTATTGATAGTTCGGTTTCTTGTATGAAATTAAACCAAGGAGATTAAATGGACAGTGATTTCAATACTCCGGAAGGATTTGTAGAATAAAGTACATAGTTCAAGGCTCATATGATTGCTTCGAATATGTCAAGACAATAGGCCATATTCGTATTCCCCGTATTGGACTGGAACTAGCTTGCAATTGAGGCTAATACGGGGAGTCTTTTCAAATGCAGATGTCATTAATCTCTTTTTAATGATATTCCCCCGCGTAAGCCTCCATTGCAAGCTAGTCCCAGTCCAATACCGAGAATACGAAAATGATCAAGTCAACTCTTCATACTTGTCTCGCATAGCCATGTAAACTCTGCGAGACTCTGGTAAAATATATATACAGAAGCTGTCATTGACGTAGGAGGGGCCGGAGAGGAACCATATACTGGGAGAGATAATTGTTTCAATTTCAGTAATTTTGTATCGTTAGTTTTTAGATGGTAAGTTATTGTTACCATGGAAATATTGTAATGTTAGGACGTTTAGCTGAAAATCTTATAAGCATTGCTTGAACCCAGACGTTGAGTCCATTCTGTGTTGCATGGTCCCGTACCTATGTGCTCGTGTACATATGCCAGAATTGTGAAAGAAGATATTTTATTACAAAACAGCACTGTAGTGCGTTTATCTCAAGAACACAAGTACGAGTTTGTATCAAACTTTGGTAATGTAGATCACCGTAATTGTAACAATCACAATCAGAAGTGTCCTTAGAGCGATTTTCAGAAGACAACCGTTCAACTAAGAAACGTGATCAAATCTAGCCCAGTTTTTCAAAGGGTGAACAACGCTGTACACCGGATAAATCATTCTCCATTACGGTTTGCTTTGTCAACACTTATCCAGTGGATGGTTATTTACCGATCCGGTGGATAACATTATCAACCCTTTAAACAACTGTGGGTAATCCATTACAACAAACGTGAAACCTGATCATAGCTAAAACGTGTCACCATCAAAAACCATCGAAAAGTAGAAAGGGTTTTCATAATAAGTTTTGGCGCACTGAGAGCTAGCGGTTTTAAACAGTAACAACAACAGCAACAAAAACTGCAAAAGCACATTTAGTCAATCGAAAATCGCTCTAAAGGGCGATTGTATAAAGTGTAACGTTGTTTTCAACTATAAGCAATGTTTATATTAGACGTTTCTTTGTAACTGTTTTATTTCAATAAAAATAATACTTTTATAGCACATTGAAGTGTGGTTCCTGCTATCAATCGCGATTTGTTAGCATTGCGTAGAAACACTGAATTCCTAGCGATAACCCAATAGTATATATTATGTAATCTTTATCTATATTTTATGTACTCTTTATATCTATACTCTGAAGCTCTGCAAAGGATATCATAGAGAAAATAATTAACCGCACTCTGCTGCTTTAAAAAATATTTCTCAAAAATTAGTGCGAATCTAAACCGTCACAACCGTGTTAACATTGTCCAGGCTCATGTGAACACACCTATCGATCAATGAGAGCGCGCGTAGTAGCTCAGTTATTTTATAAACAGTAACATCACAAAGTTATCGATCGTGTGCTTATTTGTGTTTGCTCCCTTTCGGCCTTGAAGAAATATTTGAAGCAGTCATTCTTCCTTACAAATATGCGCTTCACAGTTTCTCGAAACGCTCTGTATCTAATGCAATATATGATTGGATTACACGCACTGTTTGCAAAGCCAATGAACATCGTTATTATATCTGCAGTCGGCCCCCCTGCGGTTTTTCCACAGGCCATTTGCACAAACAGAAGAATACAAAATGGCGACCAACACACTACGTAAGTTCCAATAACAATGAGTACAGTTGTAACACCCTTCCTTGTGGAAGCGTTCCTCCTCGCTGCCAAGCTATTCCTTCGAACTTGTTCTACCGTAACAGAAATTCTTTTCAACTGTTTAAAAATGGCGATGAAAATCTTGAAGTAAACGTAGCACATTACTATAACCGCTGCCCCATATGTTCCGCAAACCACCGAAACGGTGAAAGCAATGGCAACTTTAGTTTGTAGCCAATCTTCTGGGAGACATTTTCCGATATAGGGAATAAAGCATTCGTAAGAACTTACGCCGAATAATGGTGGCAGGGCCCACAGTGTCGAATATATCCATAGCAATAAACACGCACTTCGAGCTCTTGCTTTAGTGACAACAGATAAATAAACTAGCGGACGAGAAATTGCGATGTAGCGATCAACAGACAACAACGCTAGATGCATGATAGACGAAATACAGAAGGCGAAGTTCCCAACGGCATTCAGTTTACCCCACAGATTCCCACAGCGCCATTTTCCCGCCAACAGAGCGTCAATTGCACACGGCATTACAAGTAAACCCACTAACAGATCAGCGACCGCTAACGAAATAACAACTTGATTGTTTGCCATATATTTCAGTGCGTCTATCTTTGTCAGTGCCACAATCACAAAAGCGTTTCCTACCAGTGTCACCACGTTAACTATAATCATGAAAACTGTTGTTAAAATCACAACGCTTGTAGGCCATGTGGAAGTCACCAAGTAGAATTCTTCCTCCACGGGTTCGTCACAACACTGGTTTGTAAAATTTCCTGACATTGCAAACTTCAAGGCTTGATAATCACACACGACGCTCGTACCAGTAGGGGGTTTGCGCTTTTTCCGTGTCTAAATCTTGAAATGCAATAGAAGAAAACGGAGTTTCACAGCTGAAAAGCCACAATTACCAAAGGAAAAACCTTTGTGTTGAAATGTTTGGCCAATTGTTCAAAAGACCAACCTTGAGAGAGTTACGCGAAGTATTTGCTCGACGTGGCCGCACAGAATCGACGATAAGTCTATTCTTCAAGTCTTCACAGACACGTTTGCCGTCAAAATGAGCAGCTCACTATTTCTGAATCTTCTAAAGAATGGTAGGCAAACATCACGAAAGTTCTTTAAAATATCTGCCAAACCACATCCAGTAATATACCACAAGAACAACGTAAAAGCCACATCTTTAGAAGCTAAATAAAGTTCCAATATACGTAGCCAAAACAAACCTCACTTGTAATTTAAATAACCACTTCTTCCTTAATGACTCAGCTAATATCAAAACTAATCAAAACGAAAATTTAAAGAAAATCCGCCTTTCATTGAAAGAACATTTTGCCAACAATACAGCCGTTACACCGGAGTTTGAAAACTTCTTCCCATCTTTCCTTATGCCTTTCCATCACTTCAGGGTTAAATGCTTTGATCAAGAGATTTCTGGAGCCACTCGGCTGAATGACACAATACCGCCATTTATTGGCATTGTTTTGTTTCCATTGTTACGAGCCAGTGATTATTTCAGATAATAGCCTATGTTTTCATCTTAAAATAGAAAACAGCACTTCAATAAGGTCGAGGTTATGTTTATTTTTAGCAGTGTTTTGCACGCTATTAGTTTCTGCCAATAATGAGCTCTGAGGTTTACTTCTAGGTAATTAGTCGATAAAAAGGATCAGAGACTCTTTGCGCATTGAATGAACTCAGTCAATTTGGCATGCTCCTTTGACGTTATAGGCTTATTAATAAAATTGTGCTGTTTTGTGGTTGAACAAGTCATTCGAAGGACCTGAACGCCTTTTACTAACCTTTAATTCTCGTAATGTATATGCTATTTAACTCAGCGTGCGGTCCCTATATTCGCCAATATTCTCCGATTCGTGCAGAGCAAACCATTTCAATAAAGTATTAATACTAGCCTTTTTTTTAATCTGCTGACAAACTGATGCGTCCCCAAGATCCATTCTCGTCAAATGCGCGCTGGAAATGAAAGCATATCTAATATTTACGCGGACCAGTTCAGCCATATTAAAAATGTTTTCTTTCTAATTAGCAAACATTAACAAATCAAAGTTTCGTTTAAAGTATAAATAAAATAAACGACGAACAGGAGAACATAAGGAAGGCTGGGAGTTTTTTTTAAACAAGCAATGTGTTATTTCGGCTTCAATACATAATAGCAATTGTTTACTGTTCCTGAACATTTGTTCCAGTCAAACTTAACACTTCCCTTGTTAAGAGTACTACAACAATACTGATAATGTTTTTTTGAGATAAGGTTTAATTTTTCACAATCACATAAAATGCAATCGTAAGGTCTATGGCGACGCTGCATGATCGTGGGATTAAACCTAAAACAAACTAAAGCGTGTTTTGTTTTGTTAACCATCTTGAAGCACCTGTTGCATAACAATTACCACATAATATTGATCGAATGGGAAATCAAACCAACCAAATATAAAGAGTTTTAGAATTACTCAAATATTTCTCACGTGTGAGTAGTCTCACCAAGTTAACAAATGGAGTAGTCATTAGAGGTGCCGCAAAGTTTCAAATGCTGAGAGTTCTGAACTTAAAGGTAGAATTTCTCCCTGTCAATAACACCTAAAACCTTGTGGTCTACCGAAAACAAAGCACACAAAACAATGACTCTCCTGAACCGCCCGGCGACCTTCAATTGTTCCCGAGCTATCTGTGAGTATGATGGAAAACACCTAAAGTGAACTTGAACTTAATAAAAGGCTCACAATATCAGCAATATAATGGCAACTGAAACAACTGCTGCCTACGGAGGATATATACTTGGACAGATGCCTTCGTATTTTTATTCAACACACTACCCTTGTTCAATTCCGTTGTGTCTGTATTTTTGTTCAGATTGAAAACTTTTTATCTACTTGGAGTGATCCATCTATGGTACGTGTTCAAACTAGCTACAACCCAAGATAAAGGCAGCGTTAGGAAAATGCTACCATTGCAAAATGATTCCGCGAAAGCAGGCCCTGGGATGGTCGTACTGCAACGAAATCATATAGCAGATTTTCAGATTTCAGATTTTTATTATTTGAACTATTAGCAAGTCTTAGACTAATAAAATTATAATATCAAGAAGGAAATATCGAAAAGGAAAAAAAAAAAAAGAATTAAAAATCTACAACCACATGTGCTCAGTGACCAAATTAGCCCAATCTTACAAACAACTAAAAGAAAAAGTGCTCTATTGCTTTTATAAAAATAATTCTCAAAAATACGCCGAATGTAAAACGTCACAACGGTGTTTACATACTCTTATCAAAACACACCTATCGACCAATGAGAGCGCGCGTAGTAGCTCAGTTATTTTATAAAAGCCTTTGAAACACTGTATATATCTATTGTCATGCAATAAAACTAGTGGCTGTTGTTCGTTAGAAACTGCATTCTCCCACAATTTCTCTCTCTCCACCCAGGTGTATAAATCGTTATCGCACTGCCGGATTAAATACTTGGAGGTGAACTTGCGATAGACTTCTCCTTCAGTTGATCATCGTCGCTTCAAGATTCTACAACCAGAGATAAGAACTGAAGAGAAGGCCCTTCTCGAATGTAGACTTGGGCTCGACCTTTATTAATCATTCATATACTGTAAAAAATATTTCAGGTTTTCGGCAGGTGTTCACTCCTCTGATGAAGTGCTGTTCAACTTACTTGGTAGCTTTTAAATTGGTTGACTTACCTTCCAAATTACCTCCGATCGAATGCAATACAGGTAAGTAATAGAGTGGAATCCTTTAAATGACTTGTCCACTAGGACCAACTGGCCTGCCTGACGTTTCAGTTTTTCGTGTCTTTGCTCTTTTTGAAAAAAAATGGAATTTATATTTGGAAGGAATATCTGGTTAATAGTAATGATTCTTTGTCACCGATTGATCTTTATCTTTCATTAGAAGGCTTGGAACTCCATCAGTACTGATAATTGATCATGGATCTATTATATTCCATTGAGGATAGTCCTTTTTGCTAGTATTTTAAGAAGCGACGACACCGCTAATAAGCTTTTGAAAGCTATTTCAGTGTCAGAAATAATGAACGTTTTCTATATATTACACTATCTATTTTGAGTTCTCAGTTCAATCTTACTGTGGACAATTAAGGATATTTGCTGAGCGCGTGCAGAGGAAGTTTCAGTTTCTAAGACCTGGAGTATACATAACTGGATGGCTACAAATCACTAAGGTGTCTTTAAATCCAAAGATAAGATCAAATTTTTCATTTTTATCCGGGTAAGAATGTAACTTTTAGATTACTGGTCATGTGAAGAATTGAGACAGTTTTCTAAAGTTACGTAACGATCGACATACCTTTCTACCGATATTCCTACTACGATAATGAGGTTAGTCTAAATAGTCCGTAAAAAATGTGTTCAAGGTAAAACCTACGCTTTGGAACAGTTCGGCATTTTCAGTCATTAGCTAGGAAAATTTATTCCTGTACATGTGTTGGTTCTAAGAATGTAGTGACACAATAAGCGGCTCAATATCCATTGTTTCTTCTCGTCAGCTGAACTGTGGCGCATTCACTGATATTGTATAAACAAAATTTGATTTTGAGAGAGAGAAAGAGAAAAAATATTTTCCTGAAATGAGCTGAGTCTAATTAAATGGAATACGAAATAGTAGAAGCCTTGCGGGTAAACTTGTGAACTAGGGCGGTATTTCCTGTTTGAAATTTATATTTAACTTCTTCGTTTCATATTATTATCTTTTTCCTCTGTGAACTTAACAGATGTCACTAAGGTAAGAGAACAGAAATGCTTTTGGGAGATGTGCATGCATAAAAATGTTTTGTACAAAGAAAATGGAGACAGTGTAGAATGAGTTACGTCAATCCGTAATCGCGTGATCCCATACAACCACACTGACTGAAACAGCCATTTCAACAGTAACCCTAATCAAATATCAAATTATAAAATTGCCTTGGATAATTTCAGCCTATGGCGTAACAACGAACAGAACATTTTTGCTTTGCTTCACTCATGCACTAACCGATGACTTCATTCCCTGGACTGTACATTACCTCAATCATTAATAGCTAACAATAGCAAACGAAACGTAAGTGGTCTCCATATTCAATCAAACCAGAGTGGCTATTTGCAGTTTTTACCGGTAATGGTGGCTAATAATAGAAACGTTATTTCATTGTTTAAGTTACAAACCAAAGGAAGGTAGAGGTTTAAGATACTCAGATCAAAATGGAATTTCAGTGGACACTATTAAGCGCCGGTTCCTGTAAATACCGAGAATGAGATGACAGTCGCGAAATTTTCGATTTCTTCATATTTTGCCCAAATAACCTCTGTAGTAAGTTGTTTTCGAAAATACCATTCAAAGGTCCTGAAGCGCTTTAGTTTTTTCGAAATCGAGGAAAGTTTGAAAATCGCCATTTTAGCTGCCTGACGCCGCCGAAAATGGCCGAAAATGGCCGAAACTTGTGCATTTTCTTTTCGCTCGTACAGATCAACGCGATGATATCTACCAATATACTTTGGGTAGCTCATAGTGCATGTCTTGCTGTTTCTAAAGCATTA